GGCCCCCCCCCCCCCCCCGAGAGAAAAAAAAAATCTCAGAAATAATCACGCCGTAAGACTCAGCCTCATATAATCATTATCATAATCATAATCATAATAATCATAATAATAATATTCAATTTGTCTGGTGTCGAATACTTGGAAGTTCACTTCATTTTTGCAAAGATGTATGTATGACACATCACCTGTGCCCATGAACATGTCAGTAGGTTTGGGCGTGTGAGCAGGATGGCAGGGTAGCTCGTGTGGCTGACCCCTCGTCTACAGGCCCACATCTTGACAGCAATATGCCCACAAGAGAAAATAAAACAAGGGCAAGATGAACGCTGACTGTTTTTCGAAATGTTTTGTGATGTTCGTTCCCGTACACAGTCTCCGCATCTCTTCCCCGAAGAATTGATTGCAAAGAAAAACAGAAAAAAAAAAGTATCTACGGGCCACAAATATCGCGAAAGCGCGAGTGTGGAAAGCTGCAGCAAATGGGTAGGGACAGGCGACGAGAATACCTCAATTTTGGACTTCACCGACCCCGCCAACCCCTCACCGGTAAATAACCGGGACGGGGGTAATGTTCGTCCCTGATTTTCCTACTGATGTATTTGATATTATCTATTTTAATGAACGTTTTCGCAATATCACCATGCATACACGACGCGCCCAAAACACCGGGGGTGTACATGAAACTTGATCGACTTCTTCTGTCGCGAGGGGAGGGATTGCTGTACCCTTCTCGCGATAAAAATATCTCAGGCAGGAACCGCAAGAGGGGGTCCAACCCCCCCCTCCTATGTGACCCCGGTCGGGTCGTCTAGCTGGTAGAAGTGGAGGATAGGGGCCAGAGGGGCAGATGACAGAGTCCAATGATGGGAGAAAAAAAAAAGAGTAGTCTACACGTGTACACTTGCGCGAGAATGTTGTATTGTAGTCCATTGTAACCGTGTGTTGCAAACCTCAGTTATTAATAAATTGACAGTAGTACTACTGATCCAACTGACGCGGACGCCTTCTCCGTGGTCATCAGCGATTCACCCAAAGAGCGGCCCTTTTCCAGGTATAATAAATAAATATAATTGACCCAGAAACAAAATACCTCCATCACGAGTACATGCGGTAAAAACATCGGACAATAGTTTCTGTAGCCTACGAAAAAGAGAAGTAAAGTAAAACGAGAAAACTATAAAGCGAGCTTGTCTGGAACTCCATTGCGATACAGCATCGTCTACTACTTAAAGTACATGTTTGTCTGGAGCGAAGATTTGTTCACTGGCGTCGGTGCTGCTGCTGCTTGTAGAAACACCGTTCGTTGTTGTTGTTGTTGTTGTTATTGTTACTGTTGATGCTGTCTTGACATTATGAACCTTCCAATGTCCGTACCGGTCCCACTGACACGGATGCCTTCCGTGGTCACAGGCCAACAACCCGAAAAACGTTACATGCTTCTACGTATGCATACACTCAGCATATGTGCCCCGGAGCAGCAGTGTTTACCAACGGAAATAAAGGCACCCAAAACAGCACAACAGCCATTAGAGGCACGATAATATGGCACAACAACCCGAAAGGATAGAGAAAGATCCCAGCTGTCGCGAAAATGAACCATTTGGGGCAAAGAAACTCAAGCAATTCCTGGGCGACAAGCTAAGAGCCCTCGCTGAAAATAACGACAAACGGGTCGTAGTCTTTCCCAAGACAAAAGCGATGTCTAGCAGTGGGGGCGTGTCAAACTAGAAGCAAACGTGCCCATTCCTGCGCCCATCCTCACCACCCGAGCGTGCGTGTCGTAGCGAATAGCACATGATTGGCTGCTCAATGACCGTTGCAACTGGATACATCATATGTGAACGACGCAGTGGAGGACAACTATCGGGACCGCCTACGCAGGGTATCTAGAAAAGGAATAGGGAGGGGGCACGCAGACCCTATCCCTACCCCTAACCCTAACCTCAAAGCACGGATCGAATGCTTTATCCCATATGTTTGTTTAATCAATATTGCTACGTAGACTATTGACAGGAAAATGTTTCTCGAAAAATCGGCAGCATCCGGCATGACCGAAGAACACGAGCTTGTACGATACAATTTTGAACGATACACGATGTAGATAGGTTGGTTGTTCACATGGGAGTTTCAGGCTTCGACCCGAAGTAACTTTCTTGTCTCCTGCCCTGCCCCCGCTGTGAAGACTCACATGGTTGCGATCGAAAACAAAACAAAGTGGGTGCAGTGAAGTTACCGCTGTTGTGAGGCTTTCGACCTTGTGCTGGAAACTGCACGCTTCCACGACGACAGTTATAGTGCTACTAGTTACCAGGTTCCCACAAGTAATGTGTAGTGCATTGTGACTTGCAAACAATGTAAGCCCAACCATGATACGTCTAACACAATGACCGAAGTGATGGTCTGGAATACCCTTTCTCCACAAACACTCAACCCAAGTCCAACCATCACGATACGTCTCACACAATGGCCGCAGCGATGGTCTGCTGCACCCTATTTCTACCGACACACAGAGCGAAGAATTGCCTGCTCTGTGGAGAGATTCACTGAGCCAGAGGCGTTTTCGACGGTACCGATTTTTCCCCACACGTCCAGCCACTGATGTGCGACGCAAGCTATCCTATTCTGTAGTTTGAACAAACGTTCCGAAACCCAGAGTGTGCGTCGGGCGGAAAAGAAGGTGTGCTACATGGATGTGCGACGCACCAACATGTGGTAGGAAGATTGGTCTATCCACATCCAGCGCTAGCAGATGTGCCAAGCGCATGAATCTCCGTATCCAACGGAGATAGATGTGTGCCATGTATCCCCAACCGTGAGCGATAATTTTTGCGATGCCCTTGGTTCTGATGCGCAATTTGTATTGTGAAAGCGCGGGTTTTCCGTAAGCGTGGTGTCGTGGGACGACTTTAGACACTGTTTGGGACAAGTCATATTGTTGTGGGTGTCTATAGTGTTGTCTTTCCCCTTCAGCAAGTGCTGTATGACGACACCACGCCCAATGCGAGTCACTCATGGCAGGCCGGTGCTTACGGCATTGGTCCGCAATGCGATGAATCAATTGTTTACGGGCCGCCGCACTTGCGATGAGCGAACAGCATTGTAAACCGCACCAGGCCGGAGATCAAAGGAGGGGGTCGGTCGAACAACGACAACAGCTGTCGATCGATATTTTGGGACTGCGCACTCTTTGTCCAACTCTACCTGGTGATCAACGTGCCCATGGCGTTTATGGCCTGCACTGCATAACTAGTGATTTCGCTCACTGTGTAGTTGACGTTTCTTGTTTGGTCGTGTGCTTTCATTTCGACGACGCAGGTGCTCTCTATGTGGGAAGACACCTTTACGGGCCTATTCAAGTTCCACGCGCGCTGGCTGGTGCACTCGTCTGATCTCCCTGAAGATGCCTTCGCCCGGCTCCAGGCGGCTCGTCGTGCCTTCGCAGGTGAAGAGGAACCCGGCAGCGTTAACGAGTCGCTCGAGGAAACGGAGATGAAAAACGAGGTATTCCTCACCACGAAAAGGGAGGATCTCGACGTCCGTGCAATCGCCAAGCCCATCACGCTGTCAGTGGCGACCACAGTTGCCGAACGCGCCACCGAGCCGAAACGAAACATGGGGCCACGCCTTACCCACGCCTTCGATGCTTCGTCGGGCGACTTCATCCCCGTGGAGCCCACTGATGCCATTGTCAAGCGTGCGAGAGCCAGGCACGCGGAAATTGCCACGCGCGCGTCAAGGCTGGTCGAAGGAACCGCTGCCGTCAGGAGCGGCAAGTCCGTGACGCAGAGCAGCAACGGTTGGTTGCTGCCGAACCGAAAAACAAGAGTGTCAACAAGGACGGTTTCTGATGCCGGGACTAGCAGGACCGGCGGCAATGTTGCTGCTGCCGCTGCTACATCTGTGCGCGACACCGAATCGGAACAAGAGTGGAGCGAGAGTGGCAGTGACAGCGGTCCCGACCACTCTGCCAAGTCTGACGACATGGAGTGGAAACAAGGGGACGAAGAAAGCGGTGGCGACGACGACGTCGACGACAGCGACTCAACAGGCAAGGACCAACAACCCTTCGACGCGCCGCCCCGAAAATCGGCTCGACGTAAGAAGCGGCTCCTGGCGAATGATGACGACGACGGGAAGGGTGTCAACAGACGCACTTCCGCTTCTTCTCCCTGCCCTGTTTCTGGTACGCCGCCTACCCAAAACCCGCCTCTGTTGCCTGGCAGCACAACTCATGCGAAGCGACCGCGTCGCCTGGCCATGCCTCCCGTCGAAGGCAATCCTTCGTTGTCGGCTCGCCTGGATTCAGAAAAGACCGATCAATACCTACCTCCCACTGCTACCGACTCCGGGGTCACCGGCAAGGACCGCTGTCCCAATCGCGTGCGCACCGCGTCCGCGGGAGCGGCAGAAGGGACTCCTCCCGGGGCGACGCCATCGCCGCCGGGTTGGGAGGAAGGCCCCGCCTCATCAGTAAAGCGCCGACTGTCAATTGCGGGGAAGAGAAAGAGGGGCCGACCGGCTAAGACCGCCGTGGAGGAATCCGACTTCCCTCCCCGACGTACTCTTGTCGGCAACGGCTACCAGGCTGATATTCCGGACTTGCTACCGGCGGAGGAAAGGAAGGCCGCTGCGCCTACGTCCGCGGGAACCGGCGCCAAGATGGTGGGTATCTCGAGTGCCTCGTTCTCCCTGGGGGCTTGTTTCCAAGAACCCGTGGTATTTCACTTTCTTGTGCTTCTTCCTATGTGTTCTTTGTGTAGCCGGGTAAACTATCACTTCCACTGCTTCCACTTTTGCTCCTCAGCTGTTTTAGTGAAATAGTGCTTCAACGTTGTTTCTTTCATGTTCCTTCCGATAAGAGCTACCCGCTGCTGGATTTTGCTTTCTTTCGGATCCTGGATTGTCATAATCGACGGATAGACCTATCTCTGCTCGCTGGGTGTTATCCCTTGTTGAAAACACCTGGAACCTAACTCTGGATGGCTGGTGGGCAGGTCTGGCGAAGCATTCGTGACTGGGATCCACACTCCCGCGGAATGCTGTCCTCGTACCTCGAGGCAGCGAAGAAGGCGGTCCAGGCGAAGCAGTCTCGCCCAGGCGTGGTCGTTCACGTGCGCCTCGGCGGCAAGGGTGACAAGGGCGGGACCCCGGGAGATGAGTCCAGCGTTGCCAGCAGCTACGCTGTCTGGGCGGTCACCGCCGGCCGCGACGCGGGCAGCAACGCCCGCGGCGTTGCGCGAGTCGGCTGCTCGGAAATGGCCCAGACGGAGGTCCCCATATCTGCCATTCAACGGGTGCAGGTGGGCGATTGTTGGTTGAGCTTCACAAGATGCTCACCCAGCCGCACATGGGAGTGTTTTGCCGTGAACATTTCTGACCCGTTGTGCGACGTAGAACCGCCACGAGAGGAATTGATAATACGGAACCTGTGTCAGCAATAGGAAGGACACAAGCCGCGTGGATGCAGGTAACATCATGAGAAGCGACTGCGGCAGTGCCTTGACAAACAATAGAGAGGAAATGGTCGTACTGACATAGGGTTCATTTCGGCTTTCGGCGTTGTCCCTGCTTCGCCAGTGTGAGGAAGAGGCCCTGGCTGCCTTGGTTAAGGCCAGGTGCACCCTGGACGACTTCGACCCGGCCCTAAAAATTCTCGTAGGCGACGAGGCATCGCCGGAGAGCATTCAACCTTGGACCCTCCAACAGGTATGGAGGGAAACCCACCACCTCTTGCTATCTACGACCGTCGCGTTGGCGTTGCGAGGAAGGGGCAAGGTCATTGTGCCAGTTGGTATGCCACAATCGTTCGAGGCTTGAGCGTCGTTTGTCCTTGTGCCTGAAATTCTTGCATACAGCGAACAGCTGTACGGACAGCGGAGCAGATCCCTTCTCGTATCCCATGCGTGCCCCCATATGCCGGAAGGTGAGAACCCTGGAGCAAGCCCTCGCAAAGGATTGTAACCGAGACAGGCGTCTGCACGGGTGGGCTCGAGAGGGGATGGACATAGACCGCGAGGATCTCATCGACCTTGCCGACGTCATCAAGCAGATCCCTGGCAAGAGCCCGACGCAGGTATGCATGCTTCCTTTCAAGGCACAATCATACGTCTCAATGGAACGGGCCCATCCGTAGCTCGATCTGTTCATGGAGGCCCACATAGCGCAGATGAACACATCATTTTCATTCCAGACGCTCCAGATACATACGATCGCCTCGGCACAACTATCGACGGGCCGCTTGTGATTGTCGCGGCATCCCTTGTGCGTGGACTGTCCCGTCACCTGTTCTCCGTGCTCAGGTGCTTTGTTTCTTCTACAGATACCTTGCGACGGCGGAGCCCCTCACGGACGTTGTCTACGGGGAGGAGGTGAGCACTCAACAGTGGATAACTCACATTGTACATCTTCTTCAACTCATGACCAAAAGTGCTTTTTTCTTCAACGCATCCTAATAACCGGTCGCCCCGGTGGACTAGTGGTATCCCGCTAGTCGCAAAGGTCGTGAGTTCGAATCCGCATGGGGTGAAAATTACAATATTTCAACTGAACAAATGCTCGCGAGGACCAAGCTTCGACGGTAGCACCGTTGACGAGGGAGAGGGACGGCTGGACCATGATGATCATAAAATTCAGCACGCACCGCAGGGGGAAGGTGGGGGGGGGGGGGGGGGGGGGG